ACACTCACGCACACACACACATATATATCTATCGAGCAAACACTTTCCACCTTTCCCTAAGCTGGGCTAGCCACTTGATGTTATTTCATGTCTTTTCACTTTTCTGTACATCAATTTTTGTGACTCTTCTCCGAGTTCCACGTGGTCTTTCCCTTGATCTTTTACTCTGTGGGTTCCGATCCAACACTTTCCTTGTTATGCAGCTGCTTGACTTCCGGAGAGTATGTCCACTCCATTGCTACCGCTTTCTTACCACCTCATCTCTGACTGCGCTCTGTCTTGTTCTTTTCGCTGGTGATCCTGTCTGTCCATCTGATCCTCAGTAACTTCCTCACTCACTTTTCAAGAAAACCTGGATCCTCTTTATGCAAGTCTGAGATGCGTTCCATGTCTCCCATCCATACAACAATACTGACTTTACATTTGAGTTGAAGATCCTCAGCTGTGTTCGAAGTAAGATATCCCTGGTCCTCCAAATCCTATTCAAAGATGTGAAAGCAGCCTGTGCCTTTCCCATACGGGACTTTATTTCAGCGCCTGTTTCTCCCTCTCTGTCAATTACACTCCCACGATAGCAGAAAGATTCGACGTCTTTAATTGCTTTTCTCTCTACTGTGACCGGCTCCTTTTGTAGTGCATCAATCCTTAGGACTATTGACATTCCGGGGTGAATCCTCAATCCAACAGACTCTGATATACTGTTTAAAATTGTAGTCTTTGCTTGCATCTGTTCCTATGTGTGTTACAGAAGCGCCAAGTCATCTGCAGAGTCCAGATCGTCCAACTGCGTCCTTGGGTTCCACTGTATGCCGTTTCTGTGTCCTCTAGTGGTTTCCTTCATCAGTCAGTCGATTGCCAAGAGGAAGAGGAAAGGTGATAGTGTCTCACACCGGTCTCGATGTCAAAGCTGTCAGTGAGCTGGCCACCATGTATAACCCTGCAACGTGTCCCTTCTTACATTCTCTTGACGAGGTTCACCAACTTCTGTGGGATTCCGGAATGTCTCAGTATCTTCCATGCTGTTGCTTGGTCTATACTGTCAAAAGCCTTCTCATAGTCAAGGAAACTGATGGTCAACTGAGAGCTCCGCCCCAAGGACTGTTCCACAATGATGCCCAGCTTTGCAATCTGGATATATTTTTTAGATAGATAGATATAGATAGATAGATAGATAGATAGATAGATAGATAGATAGATAGATAGATAGATAGATTGATTGATAGATAGATGGATATATAGATAGATGGATGGATGGATGGATGGATGTATAGATAGATAGATAGATAGATAGATAGATAGATAGATAGATATCCCATGACGTTTTCTTACCAGCAGGCAAAGTTCCCGGCCGAATACACACAGCAAGGGGGGAGCACATAGTGCATAGCTGGACAACTCTACACACAGTGCCGACCGCACACGCATTCGCGCCACACAAAGACGCTGCATTGGTGTTCACATTCTGAAGTTGCTGCAGTTGCTGTTGTCGTTGTTGTTGTTGTTGCTGCTGCTGCTGCTGTTTTCGTTGCTGCTGCTGCTGAAGTTGCGTTATTTGTTGGAGGTAGGTAGAGGCCGGCTTTGGGTTTTGATAGTAAGTTTGCTTTTGTGCGAAATAAGACCGTGGCTGGGGGATGACGTTAGTGTTGACTGGGGTCTGAGAGGCGGTGTAGGGCGAGGGCTGGGGCAGGTAGATCACAGTAGGAGCTTGGGGCTGGTTGTACAACTTCTCGCTTGGCAAATACACGGGGTCAGGAGTGTCGTAATAATAGTTGGGGCTGTCTACAGCGTTCTGAAATATAATATAAGAAAAAGAAAATAAATTTCTTGTAACTGATCCCCTTAGTAAATCTGTTTTACAATGACGTTCATAAAAAAAACTGTCGAAGTAGTCTAAGCATTGCCACCCATCGTCAGGAGTAAAATGGTTGTCTTAGACAGGTGGACATAGAAGTGGTCGTTCGTACAAGTCATTGTCTTAGATAGGTGGCCGGTATAGCAAGTTTGACTGTACACAAATACATTGTTACATAAATTAATGTATAATTACGTAAATAATACACAATATCACAAACATGGACAGCCCACACACCATTGCTGGTCGCCGTCGTGCTGCGCCCTGTTTTAGAGCTACGGCCACTGTGTGTTGGTCATAGACACACGTCGTTAGCCACCCACTAAATTCACTGTGTCACCGACACACGCTTGACAATAAAATTGTTAGCCTTAAGCCACTAACGTGCCATCCACTGGAGCCCCAAAGGTAAATGTAAATTGTACCCCCCCCCCTCCCAAAAAAAATACACACATCTTGTGGCATCATGAAGATCACAGCTCTCTTTTAGTTTTAGTAAGTGTTAAGTGCTTTACGGCACTTTCAACATAATAAGGTCAGGAAATGTCGAAGATTAGAGGTGTTACAAGAGAGTAACAAACACGAAAAAGAAGGAGGGGAGATAAAGACAATAGATCTTTCATAGGAAAGAAGAAGCAAACCACACCAGAGGACTCTCCAATCACCCACATAGCTCTCTGATTCCTGTTTATGAGAGAGATATCTACGAAACATAGACTTGTATTATAATATCCAAGACTGTGCACTCCAGCGTCTTTCGGGTTCACCATGAAGAGCACCATTTGACGCTATAAGGAACTATATGAAGGGTTAACCCTATCCGTACGCCGTGTTTTACTATCGTATTCAAACGACGTTGGGAACTCCAAAGAGGAAATTAAGTCGTTCCGAACGCTTTGCATAGCAGTCTGTCAACATGATTTTTTAAAGAAATACTGAAAGTTCCAAAGATATCTTCTCCCTAGAAACATTCTAAAGCGTGAAGAATACTTCCCAGGGGGTACAAAATGACCCCAGGGCGTACGGATAGGGTTAAGAGGCAAAAGCTGTGTGTACACTCGACCTTAGCGAGACAGGTGGTTTGCTCGCACTCCAGAACAGCAAAGTTTTTTTTATTGAGATTAAAGAGCGGCAGCTATGACAGTGCCCAATGTAGATTATAATTCAAATCCGTGTCGTGAACCCATTGCGACCCAAAAAGTGACCCCCGAATTTTGCACACAAGAGCTATCAATTCGAAATGGGATGCTATACTTTACTTTTACCCAAGGTCGTCATTTTTTCGTAAGTGTAAGTTTTCACACATCTTTTTGCCAACTTGGCTTTCTTATTGGAAAAGAATGTTTCGTCAGAGGTCCCGTAATCTGTTTCAACACGTACCCTGTTTTGGTAACATTGAAAGTTAAACTTTGTCCTTAAAACGGAACCGGATGACGAAGTTGTTGTGTGGATTCTGAGAAATGGGAGGGTGTCAGATAAGCAGGCTATCTGATAACCCCTTAGTGTAATTTCTCCGAACCTCTTCCCCATGAGTTAGTGGTGGGCAGAATCCGGATACATATCCGGATAACCGGATACTTCTCAATGAAACATTAAAATTTATTCAAATTCAGACTCTTAACTCTCTTCCTAACCCATTTGCCAAAGCGTGTTCACCATTTATTGTTGCAAGTGGTTCTAACCTGTTTTAAAGTGGCTTTAACCCATCTTTCGAAGCGGTTCATAACACATTATCATAATTATTTGCCAAAGAGGTGCATTAACGTTACAATCAGGATTTCGCTAAAGCGACTCATTGCCCAGCTCTACTATGAGTGGACTAAAGGCGAGTAGTAGCAACATTTTGATTGTGACATTATTTCCTCTACGATGAGGCGTTGGCCCAACTGAGAAGTAGATCCGGCGGAAGTGTTAGAAGTAGGCTACTAGTTGCTATCTTTGCCAGTAGTGAGCGAAAATAAGTGGCTATTGTTACTGCTTTTTCGTTTATTGCGACGAGAAGAGGCTTGGGACATGATGCGCAGAAGACATTTAATCGTGTTCGTTAAATGATACGATATGCACAAAACAAAATAAAAAACAAAAACAAAAAGAAAAACAATTTTTAAAATTCTGAAGAAGAGCGTTATTTATTACCCTTATCGAAGTAAGTCGCGCACAATAAAAACATAGAAGTTTGAATTCCTTTCTATCCCCGTCGTATTCGTGGAGACATCATTGCGAAAATGAAATCATTTTTAGAAGGTCGTAGATAGAGCGACAGAGACTCATCTATCTAGATATAGAGTAGACACCCCCCCCCCCAAAAAAATGTGTGAAAATCCCAAAGACCCAACACTAAATAAACAAGCAAACAAACAAAAAACAATAGAACAAACAAACAATTAAACAAACAAACAAACAAACAGATAAAGCAAAACCCAGTGTAAAAGTGTACTCCATGATTACCTCATCAGCTTCACTGTTTGCTCCGGTCACTGCAGAGATGGCCAGGCCCTGGAAAGGAGAACACAAACAAACGCTGTAAATAATAATAAATGTGAGGTGCCCTGACAAAATGAAATACTTCTTTCGGATTTGAGCCAAATGGAAATTGATACATCAACCTTATAGGTGGTATTTGTATAATTTGTTAGTATGGAATAATAAAAGACACGGTAGACTTGAACAAAATGGCATCAACTGAAAATCTATAAATCTGACCATAGTGTTGATTTTCAGCCGATATCTCCATTCTTGGACCACGAGAAGTAACTCATTTTGTCAGCACGCCTCACAAATGATAATTCCCACTGGACAGCTAGAAAAACAAAAGAAGAAGTCTTGGTTGAAGCAAATTGCAGACGACAGCTTGTGATGAATATACGAAAGCGACAGGCAAAGCTCAATGGACACACAATGCGGAAAGAAGCATTGGAGAACATTACTGTAACAACAGGCAAGTTTAATGGAAAGAGAGGCAAGGGCAGACAGAGGGAAAAGATACTGGACAAGTTGACAACATGGCTGGGAACAGCAAGAACGACAGACACCATCGCTGCAACGCAAGACATAGTCAAGTGGTGGTCCATGATCGCCCATACCAGTCGGCAAGGCACCAGATGATGACTCCCACTTGGAAGTCCTCTGTGCACTTTAAAATAAAACAAACAACTCAGTTCCAATGGTGATCCTTTAATCCCCCCTCCCCTCCCCCTCCTCAAACCCACTTTCTCTCCCGAACTATAAAAAGAAAACTTTTATTTGTTTTTATTTCTCTTTTAATCCCCCCC